TTAGAGCGTGATTAATTGATTTTTAATTATTACATACTTGAAAATTTGATTTATTTAATATTTGAAGGCAATTTCTATATAAATAGTTTTCGCACAAAACACACCGTTTAACCGTTTGAAATGTGTGCTAACGAAAATCAAGGTAAAATATATATCTTAATCAGAAATTAATAAACACCCACCAAAATCACACCATGGACACCCACTGGTGGAGAAACCATCTTTCGTCGGTAGGCCTAATTCCACAATAATCCCGGTTGCAACAAAGACCGGGATTAAAGATGATCTTTAGTCCCGGTTAAAAAGGGTAACGGGCATATTTGATCTTTAGTCCCGATTGGTAACCTTTAGTCCCGGTTATTTCACCCGGGATGCTATCTTTAGTCCCGGATTCGTAGTCCCGGTTGAACAACCGGGACTAAAGGGGTTACTAACCGGGACTACAAACGGTTTCTCCACCAGTGACCCCTACATCAATATAAATTTACTTCCTTGCTTATGCACCTACCCATACCCCAGCTCTCCACCCATAAAAAACCAAGTCAGTCGAAGAGCCAAACACAGGTGTCAACAGCTAACATCAGGATGAAATGAGAGACGGCGATCGAATGCAGTACTATGAAGAAAAATATAGGTCTTGTTTAGTTCTAAAGTTTTTTTTCTAAACTTCCAACTTTCCATCACATCAAACTTTTCATATACACACAACTTTTCTATCACATCGTACTAATTTCAATCAAACTTTCAAACTTCAGTGTGAACTAAACACAGCCATAGAACCAATTGTAGGATAGGATGAGAATGAATGAGAAGCATCAGGATGAAACGAGAGACGGCGATCAACGACCACGTGGATAATTCTGTGATCCCAAGCTTCTTTCTACGAACCTCGGGTTCTAACGCCGTGGACGTATCTACAGTGAATCACTGAGTACTTACAATTTTTTACCATGTCACTATTTTTTAATTCAAACTTAATTTGTGCCCCCGTTAAAAATTTGCATATTCGCACACAAGTCTAGAGCTCAAGGTAGGCCAATCTGTGCTCGAGGACTCAGGGTAGGTCGATCTGTGTCCAAAGGAGAGATGGGTGATCTGGATCATTTGCTTCTACAGTACTCCTATAGATTATTTAGGCTGTTGGATTTGTCTGATGATGATGATTAAAATGAGTTAGTGAAATATACATATAGATGATGAGTAAAAAAAGTTGGTGAATGAAATATAGGATAGTTGATGATGAGTAAATATCATTTCAGCCTTTCTTCAGCAAATCATAAAGCGATTGAAATTCCTCCTCCTCGATCTGGGCCAAATCCAGCCCAACTCTGGCGTGCATCTTTCCGCGGGCCCAACATAGCCGCGAGCCAGCCCAACCCAGCCCAGCAATCCCGCCTCCTCGTTCTTTCCCGCTGACATGTCGGACCCACCTGACCCCACATGTCAGATGCTTCCCCTACCTTCAAGCTCGCACGACGCCGCCTTCTCCGACCGCAACTCCGTGGCATCTCCACTTTTCCGACACCTCAAAATCCCTGAGACAGGAGGCACACACACAAAAAAAAAATCTACTTTGTGTGCTCACTAGCCAATATATATAGGTTCGTTCACATTTCTTTGATGATGAAAATTTCAAGCATTATTACCCATTTAGATTAGAAATTTTTTTAGGAGTAATATGATTTCAATGTAAAATCGCAAAAATATGGATCGGCCAGATAAAATCATAAGTTTAGCACTGTGTCGAACAATGGTTGTTCGATAGGGGTTGTGCAGTAGAACCTGTCGAACATGGGATGTTGGACATGCCCTTGTATGCATGCACTTTTTATTATTTTTTTCATGGCCCCATGGGTGCTAAACTTGCGATTTTATCTGGCTGGCCTATATTTTTACGATTTTTTATTAAAATTGTATTGTTTCTATAAAAATCTTTAGATTACGCATTAACACCAAACTTACTGCTACTCTCGACCTTAAGTGCCTTCTCGTATGTGATCCCATCTGATTTTGGGTTCTTTCATCTGATTCTGCTGCTCTTTGATTAGCCCATTATGTAATTTTCTCTATAGTTAATGAAGAGAGCAGAGAGAACTGAACCCATCGTTAATTATGTACTCCAGCTAATTAATCTATCCATCCTTGCAAACAAGTAGACCTACTAACAAGGAACACATATCCTCAACTAGTTCATTTTATATTGCATCATTTCATGAAGTGGAGAAAAATAAGGGCAGCTCTGACTTGTAAACCAGATCTCAAGAACTTTGTGCTTTCTTTATTCAGTCACAGGTTATATATTTGCAATGAGATGCTCTGGTGCTTTTTACTGTAGTATAATACAACTGTTAATCAGTAATTTACTAATAATATAATGATTAGGAGTAACTTTATTATTTATTTTTTTCCCGGCTACATCGATCATTCATTGTACTAGCATCACTCATATTTCATCGAAAACACTAAAACAAGAAAAAAAAGGTTTAGTCACTGATAAATAACTATTATACCCCTTTGTATTTTTTTTATAATAATACCCCTTCATATTCTACTCCCGCTAACTAAGGTGATAGTATAAATAAATTTAAACTCTTTAATCAAATAAGATATAGGGTTCATATTGATTTCTACTAAGAGTAGAGAGCGCCGTAGCGGGCTCATCATGACCACATCCTTGATTATCTCTTTACCTTTTTCAGGCCAAAACATGAACTAGATGAGGACAACATGCCAGGGAAATGGGGGTTAGAGTGAGACTAGTTCACATGGACATGAGCAATTCGTCCAATTGAGACTTGAGATGAAAGATCTAGCCTGAAATCCTCCCCGGAGATCACACCCCAGGCTCTCCGTTCCGCTTCCCGGCGTCGACATGTTCGTCGTCGAGGACCGGGGCGGCGCCGTCGCCTTGATGGTGGCCTCCCTCCTCTTCCTGGGCACCTGGCCTGCTCTCCTGACTCTCCTGGAGCGTAGAGGACGGCTGCCTCAGCACACATACCTGGACTACTCTGTCACAAATCTCCTTGCTGCTGCTGTGATTGCCATCACATTTGGGCAGGTTGGAGAGACCAGGCCTAGCATGCCAAGCTTCTTCACTCAGCTCACTCAGGTCAGTGCTTTTTTTAAGGTTTCTTGGTTCAGTTGGTTGTTCTTGTGTCATGCAATCTAGGACTAGAATATCTTAGCCATCAAGAATGCAGTGGTGATTTCATAAGAAGCTGTGTGAGTTAGTACCTGTTAATGAGAGTAATTTGGAAGTGAATAGCTGAATTTGATAACTGGAAATTCAGAATTGCTTCAAGTTGACAGTGTGACTTTGGAATTTGGATGGTATCTGTGGACGCAAAACAAGCATGAGAGACTTGTCCCAACTGTATGTTGGTTGCATCGTGTCACTGTCGTTAGAGTGTTCAGCTTTTATGTGGATAATCAACTTCAGTGAATTCTTCCATGATTTGCAGCCATTGATCAATGCAGGATAACTGGCCTTCAGTCCTATTTGCGATGGCCGGTGGCATTGCTCTCAGCATCGGACATTTGATCTCGCAGTATGCGTGGGCATTTGTCGGTCTGTCTGTGACAAACATCATCTGCTCAAGTCTGGCTGTAGTTCTAGGTACACCCAAACATGCAAAAAACTGAATCTTTGGTGAATCTGCAGCTATTTATCTTGCACTTCGCTAATGCGGATGACCATGATCTATTGAAGGAACAACCATGAACTACTTCCTCGATGGCCGAATAAATAGGGCAGAAATCCTTTTCCCGGGTGTAGCATGCTTCCTCGTCGCTATCTTCCTCGGCTCTGCTGTCCACTCTTCCAATGCCAAGGATGAGGAGGAGAAGCTAAGCATGTCAGGATTCAGAAATGCATTTGAGCACTACCAATCTGAATTTTCTTCGAGAGACCTTCCTTTGATGTCAAGAAGTACAATTCGTTTGTTTGCAGGAGTAGAGGCATAGAGCTCAGCAGTGATGTTGCTGACCAAGGTGGTACTATCTATCTTCTAACCACCTGAAAAAGGGTGAGATTATGCAATGCAGAAGCTAACAAAGTTGCTACTTTGCTACCATTTTTTTTTCAGTGAAGTTGCTGCCAAATCAAGAAGAACTGGAGAATGGCGAAGACGACGATTTCGATACCGGCACCGCAGAGTTCATCGTTCAGGTTGAGAAGAGGCGATCCATCAAGGTCACATCACCCACTGCCTCTGAAGATTGGTGAAGCTTATAAAGGAGTAATATAGGCCCTGAAATTCAGAAACCTGAATACCGGTTTGTGGGTTTCAGGTGTTTGGCTCCAGCAGGTGGCTAGGACTGGGAATGGTGCTCCTCGCCGGAGTCTGCTTCTCCCTCTTCTCGCCGGCGATCAACCTGGCCACCAACGACCAGTGGCGCACCCTGAGAGACAGCGTCCCCCACCTGACGGTCTACACCGCCTTCTTCTACTTCTCCGTCTCGTGTTTCGCCGTCGGTATCGGCCTCAACGCCCGGCTCCTCTACCGCCCGGTGGCCGGTGTACCGCCGTCGACCATCGGAGCTTATGCCGGAGACTGGAACGGCAGGCACTGGGCGCTCCTGGCAGGGCTGCTCTGTGGGTTTGGCAATGGGTTCCAGTTCATGGGTGGGCAGGCTGCTGGATATGCAGCTGCTGATGCTGTCCAGGTGATCCTCTCCTTAGGTTCATATCAGCTCTGCAATGTTTGCTGCATTTTACCTGCATTTCAGCTGTAATACAACTAAAACTCATGGTGTTCATGATATGGTGTGATCAGGCACTGCCTCTTGTCAGTACATTCTGGGGAGTCATCCTCTTTGGCGAGTACCGGAGATCATCGAGGAAGACTTACCTGTTGCTCGGTTGCATGTTGTCGATGTTCATCGTTGCAGTGGTACTTCTCATGGCTTCAGCAGCACATAGGAAGACAGGGTAGTCCAACACAGAAGGATTTCACTCCAGGAAGATATCACAGATGCAACATTCACCATTAACGACAATATTCGCCATTACAAACATCTATAGATTCATCCATTATTCACAAAGTAACAAAACGGTTTGACAAATGATGACAAAGTATGACTGGAGTTTCTGGACACAACACAGACCAGAAAATGATGAACGTGATCTAAATTGCCGACACGAGAAGACGACAGAAGTATTCCAATCCTTCAGGCTATATCGAGTAGTTTCTTTAGCCTGCGGATAAGCTGCCAATTCTCATCATTCATTTCATCCTGCAGCAAGGTGAATTCACAAAAATTAGATGCACGTGTTAAGGGCTCTGCAAGATAAATGGAAATGGCTGTGGTTATGTATCTTACTCGATAGTACTCTTTGAGGACATCAATGGATCTCCTTGAGATTTGGCTGATCAGCTCATTGCTCTCATCAAAATGGCGTCCATACAACCAGGTCTTCTCCTTGGGGCTCTCCCCGGTTATCTGGTGGAGAAAATGTATGTTAGGCTTTTTCTATTTAGTTGTTGATAACTGAAATTATCCTAACGATCTTTGTTATTCATACCTTTACGGATACTACTACTCCTCGCTTTGCCGAATCAATCTGATTACCATTTGATGTTTGCATTGAGGAGATCCTTCCAAGACCATGGACTGTGCCTCCAACATAGACACAAATTGGTGTTCCCACCTGAAATGCAATTACCACAATCAATGATGAGCAGTAATATATGTGACCTATTGCAATAGCGCCAGATTTGTAAACTTTTATAGGTTTGGATAGATGCCAAGATTTTCCATCAAGTTTATTTCTAAGGTGTAGCATGCCACACTTTTTGTGAAGCTCAATTTGGATGCAATAACAAGGTACCATATTTTTGCACTGTCATTGACCGTGATAAGTAGGCCAAGACTAAAAGCCAATGAACCAAACTGCTGACATGTAAAGTTTAATTGTGCTAACTCAAACTGTGGCGAAATGCCTATGCATCAGTATCTAGGATAATTATCATTTTAACAGAATTCACTCAAAATAATAAGGCTAAAAGAAGTACCTTGACGACACCTTCCAAGACTTCAACATCACAAAGAAATGGATCCTTCTTACGGTATACACGGTTTGGCAGAATCTTCAGGGTGCATGGGAACACTGCATTGGCTGCACACTGCATTTTCTTCAACTCCTTTGATCTTTTAATGTGTTCATTAAAGCTGTCAACAAGCTTGTACACTGTGTCAGCTGTAACAATCTTCACTCCTGATTCTGATGCAAGGACATCTGCCTCAGGCATCACCCTGACATTAAATGCTAAGATGGCTGCATACTCTTCTTTCCGCTTCAGCATAGCACTTGCCTTCATGACATCTTTCTTCTCAATTGGGCCTAAGTTGCAACCACTGACAGGAACATTCACACCAGGGCTGTTCAAATGCTCAATGATTGCTTCCAAGATTCCAAAAGTAGAAGCTTGCACATAGACACCTTCCTTGCAAGTTTTGAGCCTACTTATTTCTTGTATTACATTTCCCTCTTCATTCTCATTCCTCTGGCTTTTGGCTTCAGATTGTCCCAGATCATCCCCTGGCTTCACTACAACGAGAGAAGTGCCTGGAATTGCATATTTCAGTCCCTGAAAAGATAAAGTTAAGCAACAATTAGTTCGAGATTGGATCTTTTTTTTAAGGCATGACAACTGAAATAAACTCACCCGTGCCACAATCTTTACCCCCTGTGCAGCTTTAAGCTCCTTGTGATGCTTATATATGCCCTGCAGAATAGAAGTGGACAAATTAAATAAACACCCAACAAATACTGTCAAATAATCTTGCCACATATTAAAATTAAATTCATATATACTGTACATGCTTAGGTGGCCCATTTTTGCTCAAAACCCCACATAATAATTAAGGCTGTGTTCTTCCCCCCATTTTCCCAACCCACCTCTCTCGTTTTCCGCAGGCAAGCTTTCAAACTGCTAAACGGTGTGATTTATGCAAAAACTTTCTATATGAAAGTTGTTTTAAAATATCATATTAATCCATTTTTCAAAAAAATAGTTAATAATTAATCATGCAATAATACGAGCTTCGTTTTGCACGCTAGGGAGGAGGGGTTCTCCTCCTCCCGAACACAGCCTAAGGGTCCATTTGAACCTCCATATTGGAGGAGCATATTAACAGGACGCAAAACGGGGGCACCTCATTAGCGCATGATTAATAGAGTATTGATTATTATAAACATGAAAATATATTTATTTGAACTTTTTTAGGAAACTTCTATATAGATTTTTTTTTACACAAAACACACCATTTAGTAATTTGGGAAGCGTGCTAACGGAAAACGAGAAAGTTGTATTATGGAGATGTGGAAAAGAACGCAGCCTAAGTGATGATAACATTCAGTATTTCTCTTATCATATAAACTGCATGTTTTAACAAGATGAACTGTTTCACTCTCATGGGCATATACATTTATTACCTTCTGGGGATTTGCTAGATTTGCATATGTTGTTTCTTTCTTTTAAAAACTTATGTACAGAAACTATAACTGTCAAAAGAGAGTGCAATCATTAACTCACCTTAACTCTCAGTTCTTTCAATGGATGAGGGGTCAACAAATCTCTAATAGTTGTTGTGACAGGCCCCTGAAGATGAAAAATGTTTAAGATTATGAGATCAAACCGTTGTGGAAAAATTCAAGGGGTATGAAATCTCAAATTTAAGAAGTTATTATACCTGTTTAGTGCAAACATTCACTTGATCACCTTTGTGCAGCACACCATTAATCAGCACTACATCAATAGTAGTTCCTAAATCTTTGTCATCATTGACTTCTAGGACAGTACACTGATCAAACAAACATGAAGTCAATCTCACATTCAACATCTTGATAAATGGTGCATATCCAAACTAGTAAGTAACTCGATATTAAACAGAGTAATGGAGATTAACATAGTAATGGATAGTGGACAAACCTCCACTGTATTGACAAAGGTTAGCTTCTCCATCATTGTCGCTTGGGACCTTAACACCAGCATTAGTAGAAGGTCTGGAATGCCTTCACCGCTGGAGGATGGAATAGCATATGTTAGGAAAAGGTAAACCTCAAATCACATATAACAACTGAAAATGAAACCTAATAAACAAGAAAAGTCAAAGCATATAGCAGACATACCTTATGGCACTGGTTGGGACTATGTCAAACACTTTCCGAAACTTTTGATTGTCATAGTATAGTGCAGTGTTAAAGCCATTTTCCTTCAGTTGTGTCACAACCTGTTTAGATAGATGAGTCAAATTGTCAAATAAAATCAAAGAAAATATTTGCATTGAAACATATTGGATCAATGAATGTAATGGCATTGCCAGTACCTTAGTCAACCTCCACCCAAATTCCCTTTTGACATCACCAGATTGGTTCTCGAGTGCCTTCTTTATCGGTGCATCTGGACAATGTTTCCACCCACAAAGCCGGTCTACCTTGTTCAAGACAACAATGAACCTCACATTGCGGTCTTTCAGAAGAGCAAGGGTCTCAACAGTCTGCTTCTCAAGCCCATGCATAATGTCAACAACCACCACAGCAATGTCGCACAAACTCATTCCCCTCGAGCGCATGTTACTGAACGACTCGTGGCCAGGGGTGTCAATCACAAGCAACCCAGGAACTTTGATTACGACACACCTTTATGGGGTTTGGCCCTCTCCTTGACGTATTCAACAGGTACGTAGGTAGCGCCAATCTGCTGCGTGATGCCTCCAGCATCCCCTTTCTGCACATTGGTGTGCCTGATGCAATCAAGGAGCTTTGTCTTACCAGCATCCACATGGCCAAGGATGCAACATATCGTCTCACGGAGCACCCTGTCACCCTCGATTGCACACGCATCTTGAGAATCAAGGATCCCATCTTCCTCAACCTCACCAGCCACATCGATATCGACTGGATTAACAACCTGGGAAGCAGAAGTCGCAAGTTTGTCCTCTGTTTCCCCCTCTGCAACACAGGGAGAATTCCCATCAGATTGGACATCAAAACCATCCAAGCTCTTGTCCTCACAAGAATCATCACCACCATCACTAACAGTGCCATCCTCTTCTGATGATCCAGTTTTCCTTCCCACTCCCAATTCTACTGCGTCTGCGGCAGCAGCAACCTCGATAGATAATGCATTGATCTGCTCGTCCTCCAATTGCGGCTTCGAGCTCAGCAATTCTGCCGTATCAGCTTCAGACTGGGCATCCCCATGAGGCTTGGCCTGCAATTTAGTCTTCCTGGAGTCGTACACAGGCCGACGACGATCGCCATCACCGCCTCCGCCGGGAGAATCAGCGACGACGGTGATGCCGAGCCGCCGCCGCTGCTCCTCCCTCCGCCGCGCCTCCTCCCTCACCTTCTCCTCTTTCCTCCTCCGCCGCCTCTCCTCCTCCCTCCGCCTCCTCTCCTCCTCCGCCCGCGCCCTCCCCTCCTCCTCCTCCCGCCTCGCCCGCTCCTCCGCGGCGGCCCTCTCCGCCTCCGCCCTCCTCTCCTCCTCCGCCCGCCTCTCCTCCTCCTCCGCCCGCCGCTCGATCCCCTCCCGGAGCCTCTCCAGCGTCACCCGGCTCGGCCCACTACCCACCTTCTTCGTCCCTGCGGCGGCCGCCGCCGCCGCGGGGGCCCGCGGTCTTCCTCGACGACGACATCGGGGCGGTGGTGGTGGTGGTGACGGTCCAGGTTGGCGACGATGGGGCGACTGCTCATACAGCGGCGGCCGGCGACGAAACCCTAGGCGCGAAGCGGCGGCAACGGTGGCGGCGAATCGACGGCGAGTCGGCGACGGCGGCGAGGGGAATACGCGTCGAGTCGAAGTGTACGCGTACGGATTCGCGTGTAGGAATAAATAGTGTGGTGCGTGTGGGGCCCACGTGGCAGAGACTGGGACGAGCACGGCGGGGGGTAACGAGGTGGTGGGGTCGGTGGCGGTCTCCGTGACACGGACGGGTATGGGGAATGGTGGATGACAGGTGGGGCCCAGGGAGGTGCGGGTCGGTGACTCGGTGGGGACACGGGCTCTGGGCCGTGTTGCTCGGCTGTCACGATCTGTCGTGTGGGCCCAAGGTTCGGCCCGGTAAGGTTTCCTCGAGGAAGGGAAATCAGCTTTTGTAAAGGCCCGGCCCACATACAACCGTTCTGCCCAAACAAAGACCATAATATATGGCGCCACGAACAGGAATGTACTCCACTACTCTTTAATTCCCTGACCTGCTGCTCTTAATTTGGGTCAATTACACTGTTCTTTTCCGATGATTAACATGTAGATTTTACAATGGTTTTTGTTAGCACACTTTTTAAATTATTAAACGATACATTGCTTTAAAATATCAAATACTCCCTCCGTCCTAAAATATAAGAACCTAAGACCAGATGGGATATTTACCACTAGAAAAACGATTTTTCATGGTGTTAGCCTATCATTTTCGCTGGCGGAAAAATATGAAAACCGTCAGCAAACTCGTAACAAGGGGGTGAGGGGCACCAATCGCGAGCGAAAATAAATTTTCACTGGCCGCCCGTCTAATGCGGCCGCCAGCGAAAATATGTCTATTTTTGCTGGCGGTCAATTAAGTGCGCCGCCAGCAAAAAAAAAGATAATTTTCGCTGGCGGTCGAATTTTTCCTAGCGACCAATAAATAAAACCGCTAGAGTAAACCCAACCACAAATATCATGTCACATTAAAACACCCACCTACCTCTTCCTCTTCCTCTTCTTCACAATAAAACACCACACATCCTCTCATCTTCTTATCCACTCCTCTTCTCTCCTCCTCCCTCCCGGCCTCCCCACCGGCGACGGCGGTGGCAGCTCTGGTGGCGACGACCGCGGCGTGCTCGGGCGCGGGTAACAAGGAGGGCGGCGGCGCTCGGGCGTGGGCAGGGAGGCCGGATCCACTGCCGCCAGGCCGCGCGGAGGCCGGATCCGCCGCTGTCGCGCCGAGGGGAGGCCGGATCTGCTGCTGCCACGGGGGACAAGCCCAACGACGCCAGTGGAGCTAGTCCTTGGCCTGGTCTACCGCCTCATCACCTCCCAAGGTCAGCACCCATCCATTCTTGCGCTTCAATTCACCATTTTTGTTGACGCAGCAATCTGAAATCCGCGTGTGGTGGTGGTGGTGGATGCACAGAGGTGACGAAGGCGCTGCGGGCGAGGAAGAACGAGAAGATGCGGCGGTGCGTGTCACACCCAGAAATTTAGCCCAAATTTCCATACTATTTTGTGTATTAAATCCCTATCCAAGACCAGCCATGGTACACAAAACGACAAGTAATATACATTTCCAAACGAAAATAAAAGCGTAAGATACTTACAGAGGAGGCACTTAGTCCTCACACCGAAACGAAAGCAGCAGCAGCGGAAAAAGGCAACCCTAGCGGAGCTTCAGCTCCACTCCACAGGCAAAACTCAACTGGTGTCTGAGCCTTGGTCCTCTAACTCCGTCTTCAGCTCAGAAGCACTACACTTCTGAAAAGAGAAAATCATAGCAAGGTTGAGTACAACCACCGTACTCAGCAAGCCACACCAATGATGCAGACGTGCAAGGGGATAAAAGGATGGCTTGTGGCTAATTGCATAAAGGCAGTTGTAAAGTATTTTATTGAGCAAAACAATAAAATAGTTGATTAATTAAGGTAATATTAGATCTCCATTGTACAACGCTACACCACGTTGAACAGGTCCAACCAAACCACCTGAACTACACCAGTTCATTAACCAATTATTCAGGATGGGACTAATCACGGTGAATCTGGTCGATCGCCCATAACTGCGAGCACGGCTATTCGAATAGTTTTGCTCTAACCAGAGGTACACAACTGTACCCACAAGACACAATCCACCGGCATGTCACCGTGTCATCATGTGCTCATGATGAACACGTCACCACGTCGAGTGATTATGACAAAACCCTTCATATAACTCTCCCCTAACCATCCACACCACGCTAAGGTTTCACCCCCACCCCCTACCCCGGAGGTGGGCAGTCCCCTCGTGCGCCGCGGTGAATCCGACAGCTGGACAACCGGACACCCCAGCCGACCCAACTCCATCATGCTCACCCTTGCCTGGGAACATCAGCCAGAGGAAAGCTATACTTCAAGTCAGGCAGTTACCCATTCCCGCTTGTGGCAAGCGTTGTATGTCTTCCAGTGCATCCCGCGAACCGGTCCTTAATTGCCATGGGTGCGACTAGCAAAACCATGCACCCACAGCCCACCATTCAGTCGCATTTTAGTTGGATAATTACGATCAGTGCAACATGGTCGGGTGTCTCGAGCACGCAGCTCGTCATGATACTAATAGGTCTAAAACTGTAATTATCCCATCAACTGAGCTAGTGGTAATTAAGCATGGCTAAGCAAATAGTTCTAGCTAGGTCAACATAGTAACACAAGCTAGTCGATTTATTATCCAAGGTTGACAAAGAAAAGATATCAAGTAAATATGGCACAAGCAAGCAGATAGGTAAACCCTGATCCCATGTAATTAGCAAAACATGCATATTTAATTTGCAAACGTATGACTTGCCTTGCTTCTTCAAACGATCTTCCAAACTCTTTTCCTCGCGACCGCGGACTTCCGAAACGACGGATTCTATACGCTGGCACGCATAACGAGGAAAAACTCTAATAAAAACCAAGAAAATAGTACATGAAAAGAACAAACATGTAGAACTCAATTTTAGATGAATTTTGCAAGTTGAATGGCCCAAATTGGAGTTCGCATGAATTAGATATGAATTTTAGAAGTTTTGAGCCATTTTAAATGAATTTCAATTTATGACGCGATTAATGATAATTTTCTCAAAGGATAAGTTAAGCGCCGACATCAGCAAGGGAGACCGGCGCCGACAGGCGGGCCCCACAAGTCAGCGACACAAGGGGTTGGCGCAGTGGACACGGTCCACCGCGGCCGGGGCGACACCGTGGACCCGGACCACGGCGGTCCACGGGCGGCGGCACAGGATGGCAAAGGGGCGGCGGCGGTTCACGGCCGGACGCGGCCACCGGCGACGACACCAGCGCAATGGCGGGCACGGGAGGCGGCCGGTGCAAGGGAAAAAGGGAGGGGAGATGGGGGCTCACCGGGTGGCACGGCGGAAGGAGGCGACCGGCGGCGGGCTCCTCGGGGTGGCACAGCAACGGCGGTCCGGCGGTGTTCCGCGAGCGGGAATCGGTGGACGGCTGCCGGAAGGACCTGGGGAACAAGGAGGAAAGGTTAGGGTAGGGAAGGGAGTTGCTGCGCGACGAGAAACGCCGGCCGGAGTGGACAATGGCGACGAAACTCACCGGGATGCACGGGGAGACGAGTTAGGCGGCTCACGGCGGCGGGGAAACGGTGGCAGAGGGGCGGTGGAGCGCGGCGATGCTTTTGGCGGCAGCAGCATGGCCGAGCGAGATCTCGCTCCCCGGCGGGAAGCAGTTGGATGTAGTGGAGGAGGCGACGGCGGCTTGCATTGCGCGACAAAGGCAGTGTTTCGATGGTGGAATGGAGAAAAGGAGGTGTGCAGCTCGGCGTGGCGAAGCCTATGGAAGCGTTGGCGCGGCGGGCGACGTGAGTGACATCGTGGGCGAAGTGGAGCTCGATCCCGGCGAGATTTTCGGGTGAAACGTGAGGAGAGTGTAGAGAAGGTGGAGGGGAACCGATTTTATGCGGTTTGGGCGCGAGGTCGCGAGCGGGAGGAGCCGGAATCGGCGGCGACGTGGGCGGCAATGGCGGTATGGCGGTTGCCGACCTGGGAGACCGAAGGTTCGGGATGACAGGTGGGGCCCACGGGTCCCACCTGTCGGGGAGAGAGGGAGGGGGAAACGGGCTAGGGAGGCATTGTAGACTTGAGGGAGAGAGAGAGCCGAGCGGGCCGAGGGAGGGAAGGCCAGCCTGGGAAGGAGGAGGGGAGGAATTTGGGCCGAGCCCGAAAGGGAGGAAGGGAAAGTTATATTTGTTTTCTTTTTATTTAATTGATTAAATGCACTTTGTGATGTTAAAATTACTTCTTGAGCTCCAAAAATTCACGAAAAAAATCTGGAGAGTAAATTAGGGAACAGAGAATATTAAAAAATATTTCCGGCTAATGATTTTTAAAGGAAAATTTTAATTTCCTCTATAATTTCACTTGATTAAATTGATTAAATTTTTATTTAATTTCTGGGAAATACATTATTAAATGATTTTTAATCCCGAATGAAAATCGGGGCGTTACAGTGCGAGGCCATCAGGCAGCAGCACGAGCAACTCCGGTGAGGCGACCCGCTCGCCGATGTAGCCAAGGAGGAGATGCAGCGGCGGTCGCGAGGGGACTTCAAATTTTTGTTAATGTGTCAATTTTGTGATGCTTGAATGCTAAGGTGAATGGAAATTTTTTACTATAAATTGTTGATATAAATTTCTGTGGAATTTTGAATAAATGCTTGGGTAAATTTCTGTGAAATTTTTGAATGGTGGAGCGTTGACGGAGACGGACGGAGCGGTCGTCTGTCGTTTTTTTTAAACTTGGCCAGTATTAACACTGGTGGCTAGCACAGTGAAACCCACCAGCGATAATTTATTTTCGCTGGCGGCCGTCTTAAGGCAACCGCCAACGAAAATAGATTTTTGCTGGCGGCTGCCAGCAAAAATGAATTACCGCTAGCGGTTATTGCGGTCAATAACCGCTAGCAAAGATATTGATCTTTACTGGCATTTACTTTGTGGCGGCTGCAATTTCCGCCAACGAAAAGCTAAAATAGCCGCCACGAAAGATGATTTCCGTAGTAGTGATTCCTGTTCAGATTCATTGTACTAGAAAATATCTCATCCGGTTATAGGTTCTTATATTTTAGGACGGAGGGAGTATATCAAATTGTTAATCTGCTGATGGATTTCTCGTTTGACGTGTTAACTTAATCTTTACTTTTATCTTCATCAGTACTAGTATGACCCAGCAGAAAAACTAATATATAAATTTTCAGGCGAGAGGCATGCATGCGTGGCATATGTATACTGACAGTTCAGTAACATCAGCTAGCTTGGTATATTTTACATAGTAATATAGTACTCCAGTATATTCAGGCATGGATGCGTTATATGTACATGCGTATATACACGTGTGGCATTGGATTAGAGTGGACACGTCACACGTAGTACAGTCCACTAGTCCAGCCACATAGACACGTACG